GGAGGCTTGATGGGGCCTGGAGCTCCCGAGGCTGCGATGGAAATGGGAGGGGGACAGAGACACGGGAGGAAACAGAAACCCGAGGGGAGGGAGGGAGACCCAGAGACGAGGAAACGAAGAGGGAGGAGAAAGAAGTCGGACAGAGGGACCGAAAGAAGAATAAAGACCCCAAAATGAAGGCGCTTGAGACACGGAGCAGATGGGCCACAGAACCAGGAAGCGGGAGACAGGCAGAGAAGACCCCGAGAGGCGGGGCAGCCTCGGAGTGATGAGGGCGAGGTGGCGGGCAGAGCCCGTGGTGTGAGAAACCAGAAGGGCTGCAGGCGGCCCCCGCAGGCACCAGGCCCCCTAAGTGCACAGGGAACCAGAGCAGGCCTTTCCTACAGGGACGACGTGGGCTGCAAGAAAGCCTTTCAGCAGACCCCTTGGGCCGCTGAGGGGAGCGTGGGTTTGTAGGGACGGTCATGGAGAAGAGAGGACTGTAGCCATTTAGGTAAGACAGGAAGGTGCCGTGGAGAGTAACAGGAGAGGACAGGTGCTTGGAAAGCTTGTGGGTTCACAAAAGATCACGTCCTGTCTGACTCACAGACGTGTCCCCCAAAGTCTAAGGCAAAGAGGAGAGGTGAGGGGGCAGGGAAACCTGGAGTACTGTGAATGGGACAGAGTGCAATGCAAGACAATGGTGGCTCACTGTGAGAGAAGTCACTGCTGTCACACAATGAATGCTACAGAAGTTGTCACATGGAAATCTAACGGGTAAACTTTCAGCAAAAACACAAAAAAATTTTTTTTTTTTTTTTAAAAAAGGCCCCAGAAGAGGCCACTGTGCAGGATGACAGAGGCTGCTGAGTGGCTCGGAGGAGGGGTTCTCACCTTCCGTGGGGGGGACTGGGGTCCCATTCCCGACCAGGGCCCCTCAGGTGCCCCCGTCTGTCAGTGGAGTGTGCAGACCGAGGCACACCAGGGAGAAAGGCCTCATGTTTGACTCAAAAATCAACCAACAAAACCCCTGTGGGTGACGACATCCACCTGGAAGCCGTCACGGGGGTGGCAGTGTCGTCTGCTGTGCCTGCGTCACCACGAGCCAGGGCCGTGTGAACAACAGCTGACAGCCACGGACAGGGAAGGAGAACAGAAAGGTGTGGGGTCTCCTTTTGGGAAGACGAAAATGTCACGGACTCGCACCGTGGTGACCACTGCACAGCCCTGTGAATGTACGGAAAGCCGCCGCAGTCCACGCTTCCGACGGCAGGCCGCGTGGCACGTGACGGTAGGTCGGCAAAGCTGGTACAAAAAGACCACCTTACGGGAGGCGAACGGGAATGAAAAACATCTTGTTGACGGGATCGTCAGCGGTGAACGCTGGTTCCCAGCGGTGGGAACAGCTGCACAGTGGCACCCGGGCGAGCCGGACCTCGAGGGCCCTGCCTCGTCTGTCCGCGGCCGGCATGTCTCCGGCCTTTGACGGGGGCTTTTCCGGCTCCTTTAGCCGGGATCCTGCTTCCTTCTCCGGAAGCATTCTGCCTCAGGCAGGTTCAGCCGGCCCTGGTTTCACTGTGTATCACCCCGTCCTCTATCGCGTCTCCCCTCGGCTCTAAGGACAGGCGTCGTGGGGGCATGAGCGCTAAGCGCTCAGCTAATGGAAAAGGTCAGTGGTTCAAGCCCCGCCAGCTGCTCCTAGGGACCAAGGCCCGGCTGTTTGCCCCCGTAAAGATTACAGCCAGGAACCCTGGGGGGCAGGCGTACTGGGTCACATCGCGGGGCCATGAGTCAGAATCAACTACAAGGAGGGGAACAATCGTGTCAGCTGAGCTCTGGGGCCAGTGGGGAGTCAGACAGGGAGCCCGGAAGGTGAGGCCCAGACGAGAACCTCCACCTCAGAGACGCAGGTGACACGAGGCAGGGTGAGGACGCCGACCTCAGGAGAGGACGGCGACAGGAGACACAGGGCGGAGGCGGGCGGGAGGGCCAGGCGCACTCACCCGTCATGATCCCCACGTAGCAGTAGCTGTAGCTGAGGGTCTCCATCAGAGACGGCACGCTGGGGAGCAGTTCCAGTGGGGGGCCCTTGCTGAAGCCCACGGCCATCTCCTTCCTCTGCGCAAGGTGCAGGTCCTGCACCTCACTGGCCAGACTCACCAGCTGCAAGAGACGGGCCGGGGCCCAGGTCAGAGCCGGGCCCTGCCCTCCACCGGGCTCCCCCCTTCCGTCTCCACCCGCGGCAGCCTCTGGGGCTGACGGACAAGCAGGTGGGGCGGCCGACGATTCAGGCGTATCAGTTATCCCCGGATTGCAAACGCGAGCAGGTCCTGCGTCCGTCTAAGCCGGACCTAGGTCGGAACAGTCAGGCACCAGGTACTAACCGCAGCGAATGAGATGCTTGCTTCAGGATACGGCGCTCCTTTGTAGGCATGAAAAGCATTTAAGGAGACCCTTCCAGCTACACTGAAACACCTCCACTAATGAAACAGTAACCACCTTAACACTTCCTTGCACATCGCTAAGTCCCGCCCCTCTGTAATTATGAACCAACGTACATACCTTGAGTTTTTAAAATAATGGATTTTAGAGGGTTGGTCCCTTCACTATGCTACGCAAGCCTGATGCCCACAACCTGGAGACTGCCCGCACTGCAGGGCCGCTGCCAGCATCTAGAGCCGTGTGCGCCGAACCAACCCACCACCCGTCAGTCGATTCAGTCTGCGGCAACCCCGTGTCAGGGCAGAACTGTGCCACACGGTTTCTCTCCTCGTCACTGATGTATGTCCAGCCGGCAGAACACACACCTATCAACAGCTCTACGTGTGAGACGCCGTGACTCCGGCCACAGTCTCTGGGCTGTGCGACCGTTCACACCCTCCTCCTCTGAGTTCTTACTTCCCCATTAACATCAGCTCACTGCCCCCGAAGGTTCTTCTCTCGTCTGATATTTCCAGCTGCTGTGGTCAGTTTAACTCCACCCAGACAGACCTTAAGAGTGCAACACTCAAGGCCCGTATTCTGTGATAATTAAGCGAAACTACCATTTGCTTTTAGGAAGACTTCAGGGGATGTGTTTTGGTTTAAAGTTTAAAGAAGTACACTGCTGGGCCTTGGTTCCAGGTGCCCTGGGTGGACTAGAACCAACAACCTTTTCAGCTCGTTCTACTCAGGGTCCTGCTGCAGGCATCCTCAGGATGTGGTCCCAGACCCTCTTCTCTGCTGTGTTCCCTCCAGGGCTTCAGAAACCACCCAACCCGACAACTCACCAACTCTGTTTCCATCATTCCTCTGGCTTCTGACCTATCCATCCAGCTGTCTCTTGTCATTTATATTTAGATGTCTACCAAAAAAAACCCACTGCTATTGAGTGGATTCAGACCCACAGCGCCCCTAGAGGACAGAGTGGAACTGCCCACAGGGTCTCCAAGGCTGTCAGTCTTCAGGGAAGCAAAGCCCAAACCACACCCATTGCCGTGGAGTCCATTCTGACCCACAGCGCCCCTAGAGGACAGAGTGAAACTGCCCCACAGGGTCTCCAAGGCTGTCAGTCTTCACAGAAGCAAAGCCCAAACCACACCCACTGCATGGAGTCCATTCTGACCCACAGCGCCCCTAGAGGACAGAGTGGAACTGCCCACAGGGTCCCCAAGGCTGTCAATCTTCACAGCAGGTGCTCTGGTGGTACAGTGATTAACCCCTGGGCTGCTAACTGAAAGGTCTGTGGTTCAAACCCAGCCAGAGGCTCCACAGGAGGAAACAGCTGGCGATGTGCCGCCATAAAGACTCACAACCTCAGGAACCACGTGGGGCAGTTCTACTCTGTCCGACAGGGTCACTGTGAGTCTACTCTGACTTGACGGCAATCGGTAACTCTTCTTAACTAATCAACTCCTAGGTCGACTCTCAGCGAACCGACTCCTACGTGTTCTCAAGGTACTCGGGTGGTGCAAATGCTTAAGGACGGGACCATGAGCCACAGAGCTGGTGGTTCCCACTCACCAGGGGCACCTTGGAAGTCAGGCCTCGTGAACTACTTCTCAAAGCCCCAGCCTGGCAAGCCCTACAGAGCACAGTGCCACTCGACACACGTGGTGGCCCTGCCGTGCGTCAGGGCCAACCCGACGCAACAGACGACAGAGATTCAAGCAGAGTTTGGCAAAGCCGCAGCTTGCACGCGCCAGGTGGCAGCTGCCGTTCCAACGCCTGGCCTGCTCCTTCACCCCAGGAGCGGCGTCCAGGTGAAGCCCTGTTCCAGGGGTGCCTGGAAGGGGAACCCCATTCGCAGGGCTGTCTGGGAGGGCAGGTCTCACCCCCGGGGGTGTGTGGGAGAGCAAAGCATGCCCCCCCACCATGGTAGTGGGGACTGACCCCAGGGCGTCAGAGGAAGTGGAGTGTGGGAAGTTGCGGGGTCCCCGGGGGGGAGGGGGGCCTGACCTTCAGCGTCAGCAGCAGCAGGATGGCGTTGGTGAAGGGCGTGGGCGTGGGCAAGCCCAGGAGGCCGAGGGCGCGGAAGAACAGGAGGTAGGAGAAGGTCCAGGCGAGCGCCAAGGCGTGGCAGGAGCTGGGGCGGCGGAGGCAGGGGCACCTCAGGCTCTGCCTCCCTGCCCCCAGGTTCTAGCCACAGATGCCCCCAACCCCTCCTTCCCTCCCCCTGCAGAGACAAATGGGGCAGGGGAGCAGGAGGGACAGAGTGGGTGTGATGGTGAGGAAGGGCGGCAAGGATGGGGGGCAGGAAGGGGAGGGGAGAAGGGGAGGGGTTAACAGGACAAGGCTCAGGGGGACTGGCATTCTGCTCTCAGGTTTTCTTTCCCTCCTTCTCAAGACAGAGAGAGAGATGTGGACAGCCAGAGAGACAGGACGTGAACAGGAACCACGTGTCCTTTCTCAGAGACGAGGATGGAGAAGACGAGGACACACACAGGACACAGAAAAGGCCAGAAGCGAAGGGACGCAGATGACACAACAACAAGGAGAAAGAACAAGGCATCCAGAGATGGCGGCTTGAACCGGACTGACGACCCCAGAGTCCTCCCCTCCCTCCCTCCCAACTCTCACCAAGGCTGGGCCTGAATGAGGGCCCAGGTCCCAAGGATGGTGATGAGAGAATGCAAGGTGTGGGGGCCACAGGTGAACAAGGTGAACCCCAGGCCCACAGCGGCTGCGCCCCATCGCTTCAGCCCAGGTCCTGCAGGGACAAGAGACAGCCTAAGCCTGGAACCTTCCAGCCCCCCCCTCCCACTTTCCACTGGGGAGGGAACTTGACTCACCAGCTTTCTTAAAGAGGAAGCCGATGGGGATGGAGATTAGGAGAAACACCAGATAGGTCCACTCTTCCGGTGACATGGTCTGGGGGGCAGGGGCTCGCAGTGAGAACCCTGCAGTCCGCCGGGCCCCCTCCCTCTTCACAGACCCAGGAGTCCACTCCTAGAGGACCCTAGAGGTCAGACCTCCGTCCCTTCCACCTTCAAGGGCAGGGAAATCTAGCCCCCAGCCCCTTCCTTTGGGAACCCAGCCCCTCCTTTGAGAATTCAGAAGCAAGCCCCTTCAGGGCCCCGCTCCTTCCCCTTTGAGGGCTCAGGAGTTCAGCAACCCCTAACCACCCGGGGCTTCCAGGTCCAGGCATTTGGAGCCCCCGGTTCCGAACCCCCAGCCCCTTTCTTCCTCAGAACGCAGAGACTCAGAGCCTCTTCCCACCCCTGCTGCACTCCTGGCCTCCTCTCCCACCTGGAGCCCAGGGAGGGGACCCCCTTGTCCGCGAGCTCCCAGATTCGTTGCAGCCCCCTCGCCGGTCAGGGGCTGGGTTTCCGGTCTCCCCCTCGACACCCTGCAAACCATCCCTTCCCCCTTCGAGAGCCCAGCCTCCTGCTTCAAGGATCCGAGTCTGCGCCCCCTCTTAGGAGCCCCCCCAGATCCTCCATCTTGAAGAGCCCAGGTGACCGGCCCCCAGGCCTGGAACCAGGGGAATCGGGGCCCCTCTTCCACCACGACCCCGAGGAGTCCCCACCTCGCCTTCTCAGCGCCCCTCAGCCATGGAGGACCCAGGTTTTCGGACTCTCCCCTCTTTGAGAGCCCTGAGACCACTCCCCAGCCGGCCCCTTCCCCTTTGGGGGCTCAGGAATCCAGCGCCCCCGGCCCCCTTCTGCTCCGAGGATCCGATCTGGGCCCTCTCTTTTGAACCCCGGGCCCCTTCTTCGGAGAACCCAGGTATCCGGACCCCCAGCCCCGAGCCAGGCGTCACAGCCTCCAGCCTCCCCGCCTTTCGGAGCTCCGCGTCCCCCTTTTTATCTCGACCCCACAGAGCGAACCCCTACTCCGCCTTTTCGGGCCACCCAACAGGTCCCGCGCACCCCGGCGCGGCTCCGATCCCGCCCCCGCCAAGCCACAGGCGGTTAAGCCACCCCTGGGCCCGGCTGCGCTCCAGGGGGCGCCTCCGCACCCCTGCAACCCCGGGCTCCGCGCTCTCCAGACCCCACGGGTCCCCGGGGCGCTCCGACCCACCTGGGCCCGCGCCTCCGCGCCGCGGGGGCAGGCGGCGGCCGAGCAGTCGCGGCCCGCCGGGCTCCGGAGGTCTGGCGACGCCTCCCTCGCTCAGCACGCCCCCGCGCCTCCTCCTCCTCCGCGATCCCGGCGGCCCGCGCCCGGAGGACGATCGCGGTCAGGGCTCGGCGCTGGGCGCGGAAGGGGGCCCCGGGAGCACGCGTCGGCCGCTGGACCTGGGGGTCTAGGGTCGACGCAGCAGGGGCGCAGACCGCGGCCACGTACGGGGCGGGGCTTCGGGTGAGGAGAGGCGGGGCCAGAGGCTTCGGGCGGAAACAGGCTTGATCCTGGGAAAGAGGCGGGGCCTGGAGTTTAGCGTTCGGAAGGAGGCGGGGCCTAGGGCTTCGGATTCCTTCGGGCAGAGTCGGAAACTCGAGCTCACAGTTTGGAGGCGGGGCCACAAGGCTTCGACTTACTTCGGGGATGGTCGTGAACGAAAGTGTCCTGTTCAGATGTAGGCGGGGCCGCCAGCTTCGGCTTACTTCGGAGAAAATCTGACCCAAGTGACCCTGTCAAACCTAGGAAAGGCCTCCTGCCTCATTTTATGAGAGGAAGGCAGGCAGGGCCACGTAACCAAAAAACACTCATTGCCATGGAGTCTATTCTCACTCAAACGCCAAAATCAAACCAAACTCACTGCTGTGGAGTCAGATCCAACTCATAGCAACCCTCTCCTTGGGTTTCCGAGGCGGTATCACTACGGAAGTAAATTGCCCAACCTTCCTTCAGAGGAGTGGCTGGTGGGTTTGAACCTCCAGCCTTTTAGTTAGCACTCAGATGCCTTAGGCACTTACAGGGCAGAGTAAAACTGCTACAGAGAGTTCCCAAGGCTGTAATTATCATGGAAACTACCACATCTTTCTTCCTAGGAGCAGCTAGTGGGCTTGAACCGACGACCTTTCAATTAGCTGCTGATTGCTTAACCAGTACAGCGTCAGGGCCTCACGGTGGGGCTCCAGATGTAGGCAACCTGAGAGGAGGTCGTGGGCATAACCTCACAGGCTGGGGCCAAAAACTTCTGACTCAGAGGGGCGGGGCCAGTGTAATAAGCCTCGATTCCAAATTGAGGAACTGCGCAGCCGCGGGGGGACCATAGTTTTCAGAGGGAGAGGGCGCTACGAAGGGGCGGGGCCAAGGTGTTCCGCTTTGGGACGGGGTGGGGCCGCAGTCTTCTGGAGGTGGATGGACCCCAGACTTCCCTCTCCGCAGAGATGGCAGGATGATAAAATTGACGCAGGGGGTCTGCATGGTGTGGGGCTGTGTGCTACCTAGTGGGTAGTTCCGCCTGGACTGAGAGCAGCTGTTTACCAGGAGACAACTTGGGACATTCTGAAGGGAAACAAGAAGGCGATTGAGCGCTTACAAGTGGGGTGAGCCCATTCAAGCTGCGAACGGAACGGCGGGTGTTGGGGTTCGGGCCGTGAAAACTTCCAACTGGCTTGAAAAACCCCGACTTCGGGGAGCTTAGCGATCGGAGGGGGCGAAGCCTCAGGGTGTGGGAGTGGTGGGATCCGAGGACGCCGCATCGTCGATCCCCTGCGTTCGGGAGAAGCCAGGATTGCAGATGCGGCTGATCCCAGACCTCCCTGCAGCCCCACCGCTAGCTCTCAGAGGGGGCGGAGCTGCGAATTCGGCCGAGCAGAGGACGCCGAACTGGAGACGCTTGAGTGTGGAGGAGGCGGGGCTGTGGATTCGGTTTAGCCGAGAACCACCGAAGCCCAAACCGCTTGCATTCGGAAGGGGGTGTGGCTTTGTAGTGGGCCAAGCCAAGAAAACGCCAATCATTTGCGTTCCGGTGAGGTCGGGGCTTCTCATTGGACGAGCCTAACAGACCGCGCAGGCCGAGGGTTCGGCAAAGGGCGGGGCCAAGTTCTGAGCAACCTGAAGAGGGTGTGACCTTCAGTTCCTGGATGGTGTAACGCCTTAAAGTGCAGGGCTGCTCTTGTTGAGAGCTTACTGGTTGGAGTCCACCTGGGCGCTTTAGCAGAACGACCTGGCAGTCTACTTCTGAAAAATCAGTTATCGCAAACCTCACGGAGCACAGTTCTACTCTGACACCTTGGGGGTCTACACGAGTTGAAGTCACTTGATGACAAGTAGTTATCATGGTGCCATAACGGATACCTTTCTGCTTCCCGAGAGGGCTGGACATTAGTCTCCGGGAGGGGGGCCCTCACCTAAGGATACAAACTGAAGGGAGTCGCCTGCTTTGGAAAAGAGAAACGACAATATGGCCGTTTCGAAGGGGGTGTGGTCCGGGTGGCCGAGGTTACCCCCTGAGGCGTGAAGGCGCCACAGCAGGTGCATCAGTGTAGGAATAGGGTGGGAGTGCTAATCGCGGGTCTCAAGGGCGCCCCCTTGGGGCTTCTGGAATCCAGTGGAGCCCCATGGACTCGGGAGGGTCTCCCCCGCCCGCCCGAAATCCACCGGAAGCGCCCGAAGATGTTCGGAGAGCAGGCTTCGGGCGCCAACAGCCCGAAGCCCGGCGGGATTGCCCGAAGGCGCTGGTGGGCGGGGCCTGGTCCTCCGGCTCGGCAGGTGGCAGAGCGACCGCCAGTGAGGCCCCGCCCCCTGAGTCTCAGGGGGCGGGGCTTCACCGAGATCCCGGAGCGAGACAGCCAGCGCGCCTTGGCGGAACCGAGGCATCCCGCCTCGTCCGTGACCGCGTCCCTCGCCTCCTGCAGGAGGATGCTGGTGGTGGAGGTGGCGAATGGCCGCTCCCTGGTGTGGGGGGCCGAGGCGGTGCAGGCTCTGCGGGAGCGCCTGGGCGTGGGGGGCCGCACCGTGGGCGCCCTGCCCCGCGGGCCCCGCCAGAACTCACGCCTGGGCCTTCCGCTGCTGCTGATGCCGGAGGAGGCACGGCTGCTGGCCGAGATCGGCGCTGTGACCCTGGTCAGCGCCCCGCGCCCGGACCCCCGCAACCACGGCCTGGTAAGGGGGCCGGGGACGCGAACTCTCGCGGCCTGCGGGGGCGGGGGATGGGAACACGGGACTCCAGGGTCCCGGGAGCGCTGGGTTCTTAGGTGACCGGTGCGGTCGGGGCTGCGAGCGCTGCACGCCGGGCCTTTGTGGTGGGAGGGGCCTGGCGCCTCAGGCCGACGGTTATTGGAGGAGGGCCGGGCCTAGGGGCCCCGGCCGACGGGATGCTCAGTCCTGGGTCTCCAGCCAAGTTCACTCCTCAGACTCTGGCATCATTCACGCGCCAGCAAGAGCGAGGTTTCGAGGAGCAAAGCGCCTTGGCGGCTGAGGCCCGCCAGAGCCGGCGGCAGATGCTGCAGGGGAAGATCGCTGAGGGCCAGGCTGCAAAAAAGCAGAAGCTGGAACAAGATTCCGGGGCCAGTGGGAGCCAGGAGGCCGCCGGGAGCCAAGCGTCCGGAGAGAAGGAGGCCAGTGCCGGCCAGGCTTCCGTAGAGAACGAGGAAGCAGGTGAGGCTGGGGGTTGGAGTCCGGGGACCAGGGGAAGGAGGGATGAGAGACCTTCTGGGAATTTGAGTTGGGAATCTAGGGTCTGGATCTTCCTAGCCCTTTGGGTTCACCAAGCCCTCTCGCCTCCGCACCTCCCCAGCCCCCTCCTCTTCCCAACCAGGGTCTTCGGATGGGGGCACCCCCTTGCCCAGGTCTGCTCTTCTTGTCCAGGTCGCCACTGCCAGGCCGCGGCCCGTCAAGGCTAAGCCCCTGGACTGGCGTGTGCAGTCCAAAGACTGGCCCCACGCCGGCCGGCCGGCCCACGAGCTGCGTTACAGCATCTACAGGGACCTGTGGGAGCGAGGCTTCTTCCTCAGCGCCGCCGGCAAGTTCGGAGGCGACTTCCTGGTGTATCCTGGTGAGTTAGGTCGGCTGATGCCCTGTGGTCAAACCGCACAACCCAGCAGTGGTCTGCAGTTCTTTTCTTTTTGCCTGTTTTTCTCGGGCTCTGAAACCCTTGGAGGGACAGGAAATACTTGGGCTGGGTTATGTGCAGGGCAGTTGAGTGATGTGGAAAGGAGCCCTGGTTGCACAGTGGTTGACATGCTCAGCCGCTGACTGGAAGGCTGGTGGTTCGAACCCACCAGCCACTCCACATGAGAAAGATGTGGCAGTCTACATTACTAAAGATGACAGCCTTGGAAACCTTCTGGGACAGTGCCACTCTGTCCTGTAGGGGTGCTGTGAGTTGGAATCGGGTCCACGGCAGTGGGTTTTAGTAATCTTCAGTAAACATTTCTTTTGATCAAAAAGTTTCACTTGGGGATGCACTCCTTGGAGAGATCGATCATGGGAGAATAGAAGGGCTGTGTGTGCACAGGGAGACAGCTGGGGGTGCAGGAGTGCATGGAGGGATGGACACAGGGAAGAGGTAACTACGGGCAGGAAGTGGGAGGGGAGCTGTTGCATTGTGGGAGATTACAGTCAATGTCATGAGACAAAGTGTATGAGAACTGCTGGGTGGAAAGTGAATTTGCCCTGTAAACTTCCACTCAAATCACAATTAAAAAAAAAAAAGTTCACTTGGAAATACTTGGAGTCACTGGGTGGTGTAAAAGGTTAATGTGTTTGGCTGCCAGCTGAAAGGCTGGAGGCTTAAGTCCACCCCAAAGCCCCTAGGAAGAAAGACCTGGCAGCCTGCTGCCAGAAGGTCACAGCCCGGAAAACCCTGTGGAGGGCAGTCTGCTGTGACCCCCATGAGGTCACCATGACAACCACATTGGGCCCCTTCATGGGGTTTCTTTTGGTGCATCTTGTCTTCGGTAATATGAACCACATACAGCGTGTAATCTGCCGATGTTGATTTTAGATATTCACTCTCAGGTGTTTGTGTGTGATGATTCCAACCCCCAAAGACAAATAAGTTCTGATTTATAAAGATATCGATAATAAGCAGCAGTTATAATGAGAGGTGTAAGAAAAAAAAGTATCTGACTTACATCAGAACATCCTTACAGTGTAGTGACTGAAACGGAATCCTGTCGTAAGTTGGGGACTACCTGTATTGTAAAATCCAGATTCCGACTCAGAGCGACCCCTATTGGGTTTGCAAGGCTGTAAATAATCTTCACAGAAGTAGATTGCCTCATCTTCCTCCCTCAGAGCAGCTGGTGGATTTGAACCACCAACCCTCTGATTAGCAGCCAAATGCCTTACCCACTACGCTATCCGAGCTCCTTTCTGTATTTTAAGGATTCCTCCATGTATTGAATAACTGAAACGTTAAGGGCGTCTGCAGAAAATTGCCTTCTTGTTGCTCTAAGAATGTGGCGAGATCGAGCCACCTGAGAAGCAGCAGTCAGGTGGCAGGTGTTCTTGGGGCATGTCCGCTGACAGGTCAGGCTGAACAACAGGCAGTTCTGAAATGTACACTAAGTGGCTGACTTAGGAGTGAGAACGGGTGACTCACTCCACAGCTAAAACCCCAAACCCACTGCCGTTGTGCCCTCTCCAACTCAGCGCCCTTGAGGACAGGGTAGAGCTGCCCCATAGCATTGCCAAGGCTGTAAGTCATTCAGAAGCAGACTGCCACATCTTTCTCCCGCAGAGCAGCTGGTGGGTTTGATCCACTGACCTTTGCGTTAGCAGCCGCACGCCTAACCACCGCGCCAGCAGAGCCCCTGTACTCTTAGCGGTGGTGTTACGTTGGCTCCTAGGGGCAGACCATCAGTTGAACCGGTGTGCAGTTTGGTCGTTTCCGTTCCCTTGCGCTCACCAATGACGGGGTGAACGTTTCACAGAGACACTTTTGTGGCGATGCTAAGAAGGTTCCCAGGGGGCACGGGCAGTTCAGTGCTGGACGACCAGCTGCAACGCTGGTAGTTTGCACTCGGCCAGCAGGGCCTCGGGAGCCGGGCCTGGGGTGTGCCCCCGAAAGCTCCCAGCCGTGAAACGCCTGTGGAGCCGTTCGGTCTGCACACGTGGGCTCGGGCGAGCCGGAGGCGGCTGACGGTAAAAACAGCAGCCACCACCTGCTCGTCGGACAGAATTGCCCAGGAAGTCCCTGGGTCCGAGGAAATCGGTTGGGCTTTTATTTAATTTGAACTTTTTCTTGTGATTTGGGTGGAAGTTTACAGAGCAGTCTCCATTCCGCGACTTGCCCACGTTTCGTCTCGTGACACTGAGCGCGAGCCCCACCACCTAACGGCTCTCTTCCCGCTTCCTCCCTGTGGTTACCGTTTCTGTTCGTCCTTCCTTCCTGTCCCTTCCTGCCTTCTGAGCTTTACTCAGATGCTGCCCTTCGGATCTCCTGTGGGTGGCTGGTCTGAGTGCATAGTCTCGTGTTACTGTTCACCTCACAGCCCCGTGGTTTGCCTGGAAGTAGAGCCACAGGGGTGAGTTCAATTCCAGGCTTGAAGAGTAACCAAGGGAGGCAGTCCTGGAGTCTCTACCACACCAGGGAGCCTGGTGTTTCTTTTTTTCATTAAATTTTTGTGATCTGGGTGAAAGTTTACAGAGCAAATTGATTTTCCACACAGCAGTTCACATACACTTGTCTCATGATATTGACTGCAACTTCCCACAATGCAACAGCTCCCCTCCCACTTCCTCCCCATAGTTACGTCCTCCCTGTGTCCTTCCCTCCCGTGCACTCCTGCCCCCTGAGCTGTCTGCCTGTGCATGAACAGCCCTCCTATTCTCCCACAATTCATCTCTCCAAGGAGTCTGTCTACCTAGTGCAAATGTTCAGCTCATATGCCTGTCTTCTGTTTTGCTGGAAGCCACAGGAGTGGGTGTAATTCCAGATTTGAAGGGCAGCTGGGGGCCATAGTCTCAGGGGTTCCATCAGGCTGTATCAGACCAGACCAGCAAACTTGGTCCCCCCCCCCCCCTTTTATTTATTTGTTTATTTTGAGTTTTGCCCCACACATTCTCCCTCTCTGTCCAGGATGTCCTACATAGATCCCCTTCCGAGTGGTTGACAGTGGTAGCCGGGCACCATCTAGTTCTTCTGGTCTCATGGTTGTGTAGGCTGCGGATCTCATGGTGTACCAGTTGTTTGGACTAATTGTTTCCATGTGTCTTTGGTTTTCTTCTCTCTCTTTGCTCTGGACAAGGGCAGACCTATTGTTGCATCTAGATGGCTGCTTGCAAGCCTTTAAGATCACAGTCGTAACTGGCCAAAGTGGCTGTTTTTGTGTAGTAAGTTATGCCATTTGAGTTTGATGTCCCCTGCGACCATGGTCCTGAGTCTGCAGGTCCAACTACTCACTCCCTCAGGGTAGCAGGCTGTGCCCCAAATCACCACAGCCTTGTCCTTCGTCAGCTCTGCTGTGAACCTGGACACTGTTACACCACGTACGAATACGCTTGTACAGACGCTGTCTGCCAGCCCTGTACATGGTCCTGGGTGTGCTCCCCGCTGCGTAGATGTACCTGGTTGTTCGGCCTGTCCACCCATCTGTCCACACTTATCTGTCTACATCAGTGCTTGCCATCGCTGACAGTGCAACACTATGTGCAAAAGGGTTCCTCTTTGCTGTCTACCTCCCATGTACCTCTCTCTGTCTGCCTCTTCCTCAGTGCCAGAGCCTGGTGTCTCTTACGACTGTGAGTTTTGTTCCACATTTTTTCCCCGCTCTGCCCAGGACCTCCTGTTGTGGCCCCTTTCAGAGCAGTCAGCTGTGGTAGCCGGGCGCCATAGTCTTCTGGTCTCAGAATCGTGGAAGCTGGGGTTCACCTTTGGACTAATTGTTTCCATGCGTCTTTGCTTTTCTTCACTCTTCTTTGGTCCAGACGGGGAGACACCAGGAGTGCGGGGTCTTGGGCACGTCTCACAGTGGTTGCCAGAACGCCTGGCTGGCTGCTCCCGGCCCCCACGGCAGTGTCCTCTAGTCCCTTGCAACTGGAAACTGCGATGGTGAAGTCCTTTCTGGGCCCTTTGGTTGCTAGTGTGTCTCTCTCCCTCACCCAGGTGACCCGCTACGTTTCCACGCCCACTACATCGCTCAGTGCTGGGCTGCTGCGGACCCAATCCCACTGCAGGACCTGGTTTCTGCCGGCCGCCTGGGAACCAGCGTCAGAAAGACGCTGCTCCTGTGCTCCCCGCAGCCCGACGGTAAGGTGGCGTACACCTCCTTGCAGTGGGCCAGCCTGCAGTGAAGCCAGGCGCCCAGGATGACGGTGCGCCCGTGTCCGTGGGCCGGGCCTCTCCAGCAGCTCCGAGCCCGGCTCTGCCTGAGCGGCTACGGCACCCTCCTACCTCGCCCCACCGTCAGTTTCCGGTACCAGGTTTTTAAACACTACATCTTCCTTATACCTCTCCCTGGTTCAAAGCACCTTTCAGCTGTGCTGTTTTTGTAGTTAACTGTTTCTGACCGTCTGTCTCCACCGTGAGCTGCCTGCGTGCGAGGACAGGCTTTACGTCATCTGTTTTTGGCCAAACTCTCAGGAAGTCTCAGTAAAGTTGTGGGAAAAACATCAAGTGTGATTTGAATCCTTGTGAACTCTGGGAGTGTGGGTATTTTCATCCACTTATGCAGAGGAGCTCTGGTGGCGCAGTAGTGAAGGCATTTGGCTGGTCACCAAAAGGTCAGTGGTTCGAACCCACCAGCCGCTCCATGGGAAAAAGATAAAGCAGTCTGCTTCTGTGAGATGGACAGCCGTGGAGAGCCTGTGGGGGTCACTGAGTCAGAGTCGACTCGACAGCGGTGAGTTTGGCCTTTTGGTTTAAACAGAGGGAGGAGGGCGGTGGGGGGTTCAGTGGCAGAATCGTCGCCCTCCGTGGGGGAGACCCAGGTTCTGTTCGGGCCACCACCCGTCTGTGCACAGAGGCTTGTGTGTTGCTCTGAAGCGGAACAGGTCTCAGCAGAGCCTCCAGATGAAGAGACTAGGAAGACAGACCTGGCAGTTGACTTCCTGAAAATTCTCCGGATCACAAGGGTCCAATTGCACTGCACCCGGGGTAGCCACGAGTGACGGGTGAGCAACAACAGCAACGCACGGATGAGGAGGGTGGAGGAGAGGCAATGACCAGCCCGAGGTCACGCGGCTGGGGTGCAGCAGAGCTGGGCCTTCACGCCTGCTCTCTGTGACCCGCGTCTGAGCTCCTCCCGCTGCAGGAAGCCTAAAGATTTTTGCCGAACGTCCCGACTCGTCCGAGAACATAAGTAGGAGCGCAGCCTGCGAGCTGTGAGTGCTGCAGGGACGGGGTGTGGCGTGGGCAGGGCCCTCAGGAGGGCCGCCTGGGGCTGCGGGGCCGCCGAGGGGGCTCTTTTTCTCGGCTCGAGGATTGTTTGTTCGGGTGATCAGTCACTGTGTTTGGTATGATACGTTTATATCTTAGACTTCGGTATGGGTCTGTTCGGCTAGTAAGGAGCCCTGGCGGTGCAGTGGGTAAGTGCTCAGCAGCTAACTGAAAGGTTCACAGTTGGAATCCACCGGAGAAAAAGGCCTCTCGGTCTGCTCCCATAAAGAGTGCAGCCTAGCGAAGCCATGAGGCTGTCCCTTGTCACCTGGACCTGCTCTGAGTGGAGAGTCACCTAAAAGCAGCCGTCCCTGCATTTTACAGATGTATACAATAGACTGAAAAACCCAGCTCACTGCCATCCAGTCAGTTCCAACCCATAGTGACCCCTGTTGGGTTTCCAAGGTGGTAAATCTTTACGGAAGTAGGTTGCCTTATCTTCCTTCTTCCGAGGAGTGGCTGGTGGGTTAGAACCACCAACCTTCTGGTTAGCAGTCAAATGCCTCAGGCACTGCACCACCAGAGCTCCTTGTGTCTACAACACATCTATAAAATGAAAACAGGCCTTTCTGCCTAGGACATGCCAGAGTCTCACCATCCCCGTCACCAGTGGTCCTGGTACCTAAACTGCTTCCCTTTGATTGGTTGGTGGAGACTGCAGTGGCGTATTACATCATCTGATAGAGAACTCTGGCGGGTCAGGTCGCATCTAGGTCCGCACTTGCTTCCAGTGGCGGCAGCCCGTCTCCAGGGTCCCGATCCGTGCGACATCAGAGCAGCTGGTAGCGTCCCCTCTCCCTTGCCCTGCTCAGGCCTGCAGGAAGAGATCCAGTGGGAAAAGGTGTCATTCTTTGTGATCAGCAGGTGCATTCAGGCCACAACAGAGAACCTGAGTTAGAACAGGATTCTGAACCTCACCATGCACCACACTCATAAAGTCTTACTGTGATAAAACATATAACAAAGCATTTGCCATCTGTAGCATTTTTAAGTGTGAAGCAAGGATGGGGAGACTTGGCGTCACGTACTGTGGATGTGTTGTCAGGAGGGACCAGTCCCTGGAGAAGGACGTGAGTAAAGAAGACGGTCGGGGAGGAAGTGGAAGACCCTCAAGGAGACAGACTGACACATGGCTGCACGATGGGCTTGTTCTGTTGTTCGTGGGGTCACAATGAGTCAAAGCCGACTCCAGGGCACCTAAGAGCAACACAATTCAGGGCCATTCATTACATTCACTGTCGTGTGCAGCCAGCCCCACTAGCCATTTCCAGATGCTTTCCATCACCCCATACAGAAACTCGGTGTCCCTTCAGCAGTGTCCGCCCTTCCTCCCCCTCCAGCCTCTGGTAACCAGTGGTCTCCTTGGGTCTCAGGGCATTTGCCTATGGTGAAGATGTCACAGAAGTGGGATTGTCACACCTGCATGTCTGAGTGATTTCATTCAGCATGACGTGTTCAGCGTTCATCCAGGGACAGTCAGAACTTCGTTTGTCTCAGGCTGAATCACACTGCTGTATGTATGCACGTGCCGTGTTTTGTTGGCCCATTCATCTGTTGATGAACACTTGAGTTGTCACGCCTTGAAACAGATTTTTAAATGGTTCCTAAGTGCTCAGCTGCTTACCGGAGGGTGGGCGGTTTGAGCTCACCAGCCACTCCATGGGAGAAAGATGGGGTGATCCGTAAGGATGACAGCCTTGGAAACCCCATGGGCCAGTTCCACTCTGTCCCCTAGGGGCGCTCTGAGTCAGAATCAACTCAGTAGCAGTAGGTTTGATTTGGGCTTCGCTTCCGTGAACATCACAGCCTTGGAAACCCAATGGGGCAGTTCCATTCTGTCCCCTAGGGATGCTATGAGTTGGAATTGACCTGACTGGCAGTGGGTTTTTGGTTTTTACTTTCCTGAAAGGTTCCTACACCCCTTGCCAAGGAGTTGTTTCTGACTCAGTAACCCAACAGGACAGAGTAGAATTGCCTTAGGGTTTCCAAGGCTGTAAGTCTTATGGAAGCAAACTGGTACATCTTTCTGTTGTGGAGCAGCTGGTGGGTTCCAACCACTGACCTTATAGTTAGCAGCAAAGTGCTTAATGACTATGTCACCAGGGCTTCCTGATTGGTCCCTGGGTGGTATAAATGGTGTGCATTCAACTGTCAACCAAAAGCCTTGCCGTTTGAACCATCCACTGGCTGTGGAAGAAAGGTCTAGCTTTGTGTTTCTGTAAAGATTACAGCTAAGAAAACCCTGTGCGACGTTTTACTCTGGAACACGTGGGTCTCTGTAAGTCAAGCGACTCCACAACAGTCTGGGGGTTTTTTTTGGTGTGGGGGGGTTGGGAGGTGTCTTGTGTGCTGAGGTGAATTTGCAGTCAAGGAGGAAGCTGCTACTGTGGTCCCAGAAGGAAAGGATGAGACCTAAACTGGGGCCTGGCTGAGGGGAGAGAAACCAGGAGGAATAAGACAAAAAGGACAAGATTTGAGTACCGATGGACCTTGGCCAGAGGGTGAGAGGTGGGGGTGGAAAGTGAGGATGTCATGGAAGTGTCGCTCCTGAATTACTGGACAGATGATGAGATTAGCCCTTGGCTAGAGAGTCCAGTGAGAGGGACACTCTTTAGACACAGACCAGGAGCTATAGGTGTGGGATACGGTGAGTTAGAAGGCTAGTGGGCACTGAGATTGTGGTTTGGAAGACTGGATTAGAGACGATCTATGGACAGTGCATGAAGACCATGCCCTGGTTCTTCACTCATTCATTTAAGTATTGAGGGCCAACAATGGGCCATCCTGTAGAAGACCATTTCCCTGTGCCGGTCAATAATTATTTGTTGCTTAACTGAATCAGTGAGGTCACGTTGAGGGAAGACCGAAGAAGAATTGATGCATTTGAATTGTGGTGGGGAAGAATACTGAAGATGCCATGGACTCCCAGGAGAATGAACCAGTTGTCTTACAAGAAGTACAGCTGGGATGCTTCTTAGGATCAAGAATGGCCAGATCTTGTCTGTCATACTTTGGTCACGTTATTAGAAGAGACCAGTCCCTGAAGAAGGCTATCATCCTTGGTCAAGTAGAGTGAAAAGAGGAATGAGAAAGAGGGGTGAAAGAGGGGAACGAGATGGATTGGCACAGTGGCTGCCAGGATGGGCTCAAGCGTGGCAGGGATTGTGATGGCTCAGGACCCAGTGTTTCGCTCTGTTGTACGTGGGCTTGGGTTGCTGTCAGTTGGAACTGACTTGACTGCACCTGACAACACACTGAGGGCTAACACCTTCTAGAGTAGCAGGAAGACACAGGGTGAGGAATGAGTTCAGGTATGGCAGAACTTCCACCAAGATTTGCTTCTCCTCATCTACAGAAAGCAAGGATGATGGCTGAACATGGTGCACGTGTTCCAATGTCACTGAATTGCACATGTGAAGATTGTTGAAATGGCAAAGCAAAGGTTACGTATATAAACTCAAACTAACTGCCACTGAGTCAATTCCAACTCAATGCGACCCCTATTGGGTTTCCGAGACTGTAAAGATGGGAAGTGCCTACCCCATCTTTCTTCTGTGGAGCAGCTGGTGGGTTTGAACCACCGACTTTCTGGTTAGCAGCCAAATGCCTTAGCTACTACATCACCAGAGCTGCTTACAATAGTAATTAAAAGAAAAAAAAAAAAAAAAAAAGCAAGAATGGAACGTCAGGGTGGAAAGGGGCTGTGTGTACTTGGGCAAATCACAGAAGGGAGATTTCAATGAATTTTCACCTTGTGCATCCTCTCCAGGGTCAGATTTGTAGCCAGGGGTCAAAAGGGCTGACTTTTGGGTAGGCTTCAGGTTGATGTTATTGTGGGTACGACGATACGTTTATTCAAGGACCCAATGAAACATCTGACGTAGAAGGAGCTTTGCGTTTTTGAACCCCCACCTTTCTCGGGGCCATTTCCCAGAAAAACCAAACCTGAGACGGGAATTAGGTGTGGAGATAATTACTTCAACGTTTAGACCACGACTCAGAGGCAGGGTTAGCACCCTGACCTCTGGAACTCTAGGCTTGTTTGCATAATTTTTTTTTTTTAATTGTGATTTGGGTGAAAATTTACACAGCAAATTCACTTTCCATACATCAGTTCACATACACTTTGTCTCATGACATCGACCACAATTCACCACAATTTCTTTGCATAACTTGTTAGGCAATCCCCGTACCCAATTCTCGATCCTCCGCGTTCCCACCCTCCACCAGGAAGACTGTCTTTTTCTGGCCTCTCTAGCCCAGCCTCTCGTCTCGACTACTCTTCCGCGCGCCAACGCCTCTTCTGATTGGCGCTGGGGTGCGCTGTGCGTGTTGACGTCACGCGGCAGCGGCGTTTATATAAGACCGCATCTGGGGCGCGTGCGCTCTTTTTCTGTCACCGGAGTGTAGCTGTAGGTGAGTTCTCGTTACATGCGTTGTCGCCTGGGTTTGCGTTGTTAAAGTTACGGTTTCCGAACTTGAATCAGTATGCTACAGAAGATGGGGTCGAGGAGAGGGTGGTTAGATGGGCTTGCGGCACGGTTGCGTGTGGGGGGATGAAGCCGACTCCAAACGTTGCCGCGCTGTTCTCGCGAGGATTTTTTCGGGCGACACCGGGCTCTGGAACCTCACGGGTGCGCAGTGGTGGGACTGCGCAGTGGTCGCCCGGCCGTCTCACGGCCTGGTTTCTTGCGCAGGCGCATACGGATAAGCGGAGCCAGTATGCCGGTGGCCCGGAGCTGGGTTTGCCGGAAAACCTACGTGACCCCGCGGAGACCGTTTGAGAAGTCTCGTCTCGACCAGGAGCTGAAGCTGATTGGTGAGTGGTAGGGGGCACGGTTTCGGCGCCTGGAATTGCGACAGAGCTAGCACGTGGGTGCGTCCGCCCATGTGGTCACTGTCTCCCGTTCTCGAGTCGGTACCGATCCTTCGTTAGCGTCTCTGAATCCCGAAGCCGTCAAGCTCCAGTTTTTGTGCTAGTTTGTGGGTCTGAAACGGTTCTCCCGTCCACCCCTCACCTCCTTCCCATCTGCAGGCGAATATGGGCTCCGCAACAAACGTGAGGTCTGGAGGGTCAAGTTCACTCTGGCCAAGATCCGCAAGGCTGCCCGGGAACTGCTGACGCTGGATGAGAAGGACCCCCGGCGTCTGTTCGAAGGTGCGTGATAGCCGGCTGGAAGGAGCAGGGGTGGGCGGCTGCTGGGGTTGCCTTTAGGCCTCTCTTGTAACGCCGCCGGTGCGGCACGGAGCAGGTGGGGCCGGCATTGCAAGCTCGGCGTTTACTGGGGCTGGTGGAGTAGGAAAGGGGGCTCGGGGTCCGAATCCCAGCGCCTTCTCGTAGGTGTGTGTTCAGGCCAACGTCTGACACCTGCTTCCAGCGTATATGATGGAGCCAAAATGTTTTCACGTAGCCTGTGTTCTAGTGTCGGGATAGACAGAGGGTACTTAGTGTAATGTCTGATGGGGAAAAAACCAGGAAGACCAGGAGGTGCGTAAGGTGACATCTGAGACCTGCACAGGAAAGGAAGGCCCAATGCACCTGGATGTCACATGGAAGAATGTTTCACCGATGACGTTGGGCAGGGGCGGATCATACAGGGCCTTAGACTCCTACTTACAGGCTTTAGATTTTTACTCTGGAGATGGGAGTTTGGGAAACGAGATGGAGGAAAGCTTCCCAGAGTAGAAGACTGACAGGATGTAACTTGTGAGTAGCACCGGTGGGCTCAGAAGATGGCAGTGTTACAATGGCTGGTGTTCTTTAAGGGCTGATGTGAGGCTTTTCTGCACGTTAACGTGCACAGTGTTGAAAGGGGTGCCTGCCAGTCCTGGCATTGTGTTGATGAGGGCGTGGTGGTCAGGAGGCCACTGGCTGAGTGGGACTAGCGGGCAGGCAGCCTGGCTTCAGGGTTAGGTGAACTCCAGTGGTGGGGCATCAGTTACAGGAACTTAGGAGCTCCTGCTTGGGAAATAAGAGTGTTGTGATTTTATTATTATTTTTTTACTGTGATTTGGGTGAAAGTTTACAGAGCAAAATTCACTTTCCATATAGCAGTTCACACACGTTGTCTCATGACAAATTGACTACAATTTACCCCCATGCAACAGCTCTCCTCCCACTTCCTCCCCATAGTTACCTCTTTCCTGTGTCCATCCCTCCATGCCCTCCTGCCCCCTGAGCGGTCTCCCTGTGCGTAAACAGCCCTTTTTTCTCCTGTGATGATTGTCTCCAAGGAGTGTATCTTACTCTGGTATGTGTTTAAGAATGTTGTGATTTTTAATTACAGAAACAATGGTAAATGTTTAAACATAAAATAGCATGGTTTCCTAGTTTGACGTGTGTTGGCCGTTGTATCCTGGGTGGGGGCAGTAGTACCCATTTGATGTCCAAAAAGCCAAAACCTAGCTCATTCCCATCGAGTGGATTCTGACTCATAGTGACCCCCTTTGGGTTTCTGAGGCTGATGAGTTTGAACTGCCAGCCTTCTGGTTAGCAGTCAAATGCCTTGGGCACTACACCGCCAGAACAGCTTAAATCTTTATGGAAGGAGATTGCCCCATCTTATTGTGTGGAGTGGCTGGTGGGTTTGAACCACCAATCTCCTGATTAGCAGTCAGATACCTTAGGCACTGAACCACCAGAGCTGCTTCATTTGATGTCATTAAGTGTGAAATCTGGCCATCAGTGGTACCCTATGTACCTAAAATTGACCATCTCTCAAATTAGCTTGACCGCATGTACACAATCTTCATTTATGACACAAAGCAGGGAGGACTGGGACTTGAGGCCTGGCTTCCTTAGGCAAGTCTCATGCTTTCCAAATGCATTTCACAGTGTGGTTTTCCTGAACGTTGAGGTATTTAGGGAGGACCCGTCTATACCTGAGGCTTCAGTGGGAGGCGTGAGAGGAGCCCTCTGGAGTAGAGGCTGAGAAAGGCCAAGTGCTTGTTGGAGCAGCGGAGGTGTGTCGTGTTTGAGCCCATCCCAGGCTTGTCGAGCTTTCTGCCGCTTTCGTATGTTGTAGATCCCCTTGGACAGTCCTTTGAAAGCTCTGAACCGCACTCCCCTCCTGCAGGCATTGCTACTGGCTGGCTGCGTCAGGGGTCCGGTGGACAGAGGGACTCTGCTAGCTCTGGCTTCGAGGAGCTTTATGAGCTGGAACTGGTTATGAGGAAGCTTGTTTGGACGCGTAGATGACAGTCACGGGAGAAAGTAATGAAAGAAGCTGCAGGGGGGAGGCACTGAGTGTCTGAGGCCTGTGGGTTTTCAGGGCAGAGGTGGAACTTGGCCAGGGGAAGCTCCTCAGGTGTCAACTCTGGTTGAAGCCGGTTAGCCGGGGGCCAGCGGGGGGCAGGGGCACCACAGCCCTGCCTCGTGTGCTGCTCGTCTTTTTTCCAAACCATCACCTTGACTTTGCTCATTGGTCCAGCCAGCCCTGTTGCTGACCCACTCTGTCCTGTAAAACCGTGACATTCAACAAGCAGGTTTCTGGAGTCTCCTCTCTTTGAAGCCTTTAATCCATTTATCAGCAGCACCATCTGACAGCTGTTCTCAGATTTCTCTGTTGTCGATTTTAAAAGGCTGGGGACTGATCCCACCTTCATATTGCAGAGAAGTGCCATGCTCTTAGGTCTGTTAGCTCGCAGGGCTTTTCTGACTCCGGTCCTTGAGGTCCTAACCACAATGCTTTGGTGGTGGGTGCTGGGATCCGTTCCCACCTAGCAAGTCCATGTGTAACCGAAACAAACACTGCCTGGTCCTGTGCCGTCCTCTATCATTCCCATGTTTGAGGCCACTGTTGTCAATCTGTCAATCCACTGCTCTTTCGCTGATCCTCTACCGAGCATGGTGTGACACCTCCAGGGGCTGGCCCCTTCTGACATCCAGAGTGTGGGAGACCAAGTCTCGCATCCTCGCTTCTTAGCATTCTGGGGGTACTTCCAAAAGGGACCTGCTCGTTGTCTGAGCAATGATAGTGGTTTAATAGTGGCCAGTGTGAGCCTGGAGCCGGTCAGACCCAAGCTGGTGTGCTTCCCGTCCCCCTCGCAGGCAACGCGCTGCTGCGGCGACTGGTCCGTATCGGGGTGCTGGACGAGGGCAAGATGAAGCTGGATTACATCCTGGGCCTGAAGATTGAGGATTTCCTGGAGCGGCGCCTGCAGACGCAGGTCTTCAAGCTGGGCTTGGCCAAGTCCATCCACCACGCCCGCGTGCTCATCCGGCAGCGCCACATCAGGTACGGGCGCTGGGGGGCTCCCGGCGCCCCACGTCCCCCCTCCCTGTGCTGCCGCCCTCACGGCCTGCTGTCCTGTCTCCTGTGCAGCCCTAGGAGGTGGAGGGCGTGAGCCCCCCACCAAGCAGCTCACGGAGCTGGGGGCAGCCTCATGTCCCCCTAGCGCAGCGCAAGGGTCACTGCGGCTCAAGCCGTACACCTTGCGAAGGTTTCTGCGTGGCATGCGGGCAGCTGGACAGGTAACAGCTCTTGGTGTCCCCAGTTAAGGGAGAAGCCGCTGAGCCCCGCCTGGCTTGGGCAGGTTCATCTGCCCGTTGGCTGTGCCTGCGAAGTCTGTTGTAGACTCCGGTCACCTTAGTGAAACCACCAGGGACCCTGGAGGAGCCCAGGGCGCTGAAAGGACAATTGGCAGATGGGCCTTTTCTGGGACCCCTTGGCTCCTGTAAGATCTTACCATTGGGGGAAGCTTACTGTACATGGTAACGTAAGAGGGTGGAATGCCTGTGTGGCAGTGCGACTAGCACCGACCCTACCCACTCACTGGAAGAAGAGGAGTGGTGCCTTGTCTTGTGATGAGGACCCCCCAGTCCCCTTCATCTGCCGCCCTGCTCCCTCCAGGGTCCGCAAGCAGGTGGTCAATATCCCGTCCTTCATCGTGCGCCTGGACTCCCAGAAGCACATCGACTTCTCCCTCCGCTCTCCCTACGGAGGAGGCCGCCCGGGCCGCGTGAAGAGGAAGAATGCCAAGAAGGGCCAGGGTGGGGCTGGGGCCGGGGAGGACGAGGAGGAGGATTAAGCCCACCCTCCCCTCCTGGGTCAGGAGCCTTGTCTAGTTTTCTAACCACAGAATAAAAGCAGATCAACACTTTGGAATTGGTGTTTATTGATGCGTGTGTTCCTCTCCCTGAAGAGGGGCTCCTGTGGCCCCAGGCTCGCCCGTCCTGGACCGGGAGTCTTGCGTAGTAGGAGCAGTCGGGACACTGCGTCACTGGAGGGGGAGGCTCACCAGCGTTGTCAACAGCAACAGCTCCGTGAGTCAGCCGCGTGCTTGCGACAGTCATTTCCAGGCAGACTGAGTGTCAGGGCATCCCCAGCCCGTCCACCTTCTTACCCGAGCCCCTGGGGCAAGTCAGGTGAGAACTGATAGTGTGGAGATGTGGATGGGGGATCTCACAAGCCCCTGTTGCTGGCAAAAGTGAACTGTCGGTGGTGGTCTTCAGGCAGTAAGCATTTGAGAAAATTCTAGACAGATTTGTTAGCTGGTTTGTAGGTGTGGTGTTGGGGACAGTCCTGGGTTTGTCTCACGTATGGGGGCTTGGTGAGGTAGAAATGGAGACGGTCTTGGATAGATGACGTGAGGAACATTGTGTCCCCTGCCCCTCCCTCCCACTGCTGTGGTTTCTGGAAAAACTCAGGGTCATGAGGACAGGCAGACTTCTCTTTTCTCAGCCTTGTTGAGAAACTACATCCTGCAGTACGTGGAGGGACTTTGAAATTGAGCAACTGATTGAACGGTCTGAGTGTGGGCCGGTAACTCAGCCAAAACCCAGACCCACCGTTGTTGGGTGGAATCCAACTCACAGTGACCCTGGAGGACCTAGGGGAAGGGTCCCATGGTGTTCCAAAGCTGTCGCTCTTGGTGGGACCAGATGGCCTCATCTTCCTGCGGAGACCTGGTGCTGAGTTGAAACCACTGCCCTTTAGTTGGCAGCCCCGCGCTTTAACCGCTGCCCCTGCAGAGCGTGGGCTGAGACTGAAGGATGGCGATACAGCAGTTATTGGGGGCTTACACCTGGGTGGTCACTGGGCAGGCCCCTAAGAGGGAGCCAAGGATTGTCATAACTGGTGAACAAAGGCTTACTGGGCATCAGAGGCACAGGCTGCCCCGTAGGTGTTTCATGAGGGTGATGGCAAGCAGAAGTGAGTTAGCAGAAAGGGTGTGGTTGGGTGTGGCCTCTTCACAGTCTGTGTCCTTGCAGTCCAGCCCTTGACGCTGGTTCTTAAAATCCACCCCACCTCCACACAACCTGCAGGGTGCCTCGGGGCCCTGAGGGGCGTAGGTAGAACTGGCTGGAGGCACAAGCCATGGGGGCAATGGGGGCAAACAGCCACACCAAGGGAGGCACCCAGACCCCGCAAAACTCGGGCAGCCAGAGAGGAAGGAGGGCAGCTGGCAGCCACAGTTACCAGTCATCAGGTGTGTTCAGGGCCTCTTACCTGTTTCAAGATTCATTACATCTAATATAAAAAAAAAGCCTCACAACTGGACCAATAAGCAGCATCATGATAAATGGAGAAAAGATTGAGGTCAAAAGACTTCACATTGCTTGGTTCTACAGTTGACGCCAATGGAAGCAGCAGTCAGGACATGAGATGACGTGTAGCATTGGGCTAGTTGGCTGCAAAGGAACTCTTTCATGTGCTGAGGAGCAGGGATGTCTCCTTGAGGACTAAGGGGTGCTGACACAAACCATGGTATTTTCAATCGCCTCACGCATGTGAGAGCTGGACAGTGAATAAGGAAGACTGAAGAAGAGTTGATCCTTTAGAGTTGTGCGGCTGGCGAAGAGTGCTGAAGGTACCAGGGACTGCCAAAAGAACTACCATCTGCCCTGGAGGAAGTGCACCTGAATGCTCCTTGGAAGCGAGAATGGCCAGACTTGGTCTCACCTACTTTGGTCATGTTGTCAGAAGGGACCATTCCCTGGAGAAGGATGTCGTGCTTGGTAGGGTGGAGGGTCGACAAAAGGGGAAGGCCTTCAACGAGGTGGATTGACACGGTGGCTGCAATGATAGGCTCAAGTAGAGCAAAGATCATGGAGCTGGTGTGGGACCGGGCAGTGTTCGTTCTGCTGTGCACGGGGTCGCCATGCGTTGGATACGACTCAACGGCACCTAACAACAGTTCAGTGATGTCCCGGTGGTCCTTAGGTGCTGCTGAGTTGGCTTCGACTGGGCAACCCTCCGCACAACGAGGCCACGCCGCCCGGCCCTGCACATCCTCACAGCGTGCTGCGCCTGAGCCCACCGTTGCGGCCACCGGTCGGTCCATCTCATTCAGGGTCTTCCTGTTTTTTGCTGACCTTCTACCAAGCATGGTACCTTCCTCCAGGGCCTGGCTCTTTCTGAAAATACGACTAAATTATGATAGCGAAGTGAGGCTGCTCTCACTTCTAAGGAGCCTTCCAGCTGTACTTCCAAGACATCTGGCAGTCCATGGTATTTTCAGTATTCTTTGCCAACACCACCATTGGAAGGTGTCGATTCTTAGTTCTTATTCACTGTCCAGGTTTCGCATGCATGTTAGGTGACTGAAAATACCATGGCTTGGGTCAGACTTGCTCTAGTTTTCAAAGTGACACTTTTGCTCTTTAACGCTTTAAAGAGGGCCTATGCACCAGATTAGCCCAGTGCGTTATGTTGTCCGATTTCTTCGGTGCTGCTTCCGTGGGCGTTGGTTGTGGATCCAGGTGAAATAAAGTCCTCGGCAACTTCCACCTTTTGTCCGTTAATCTTGCTATTGCTTGTTGGTCCAGTTGTGGGGGTTTTTGTTGATGTTGAGGTGTAATCCGTGCTGAAGGCCATAGTCGATCTTCATCAAAGTCTTGCACATACGTACAACACTGAGTCTTCACCGCAGGACACGGCGTGCCGTGAGCAGCTGTCAGAGCGTCCAGAGCCATCTGGTTCTAAAACTACCGTCCTCCCCCGGGTGGTTTCGGCAGTTAATGGCTGTGAGCTTTGTCTGCTTTGGTTCAGGGTCCGAGCTTCTGTGTGTGCCACGAGCCAAGGGAGTGAACCAGAACAGTTGGAAAGTAATACCAGTGGCAGACACTACATTGGGTCCACCTGGCTTCCACCATAGATTCCCTGATGATCCCTGCAGCATAGGGCAACCCCAGGGTGCAGCGCCCTGTCCAGTCACGTGGGACCAGGGCCACCGGTGGTGGCCACACAGCCATCAAGTGCTGTGAGGAGCGAGGTGTGTTTCTGTGGTGTTGCAGTCCACCAGCGCTTTCGCTCATTGGCAGTGGTGCACAGGAGTCCAGCCCACTATGGGAGAGGGACTGGGAGGGTGATGGGAACCCCTGGGGTTTTACTTGGCTCAGAACAGACAGGTGCATTCCCTAACCCTAACCCCCTGTTTGGGCACCAGCCAACCTAAACCGTCCCAACGGTGGTAAGAACCCTCTCGTGGCCGCACCTGGGAGGCATTGCAATCCTGTCAAAATGCAGGTTTCTGTGAGAGCCCAGGATAAGGCGGTGTGCCCCTCACCTCCTCGTTACATTCCACTAAGTCACAGAGGCAGGAATGTGCCTGTCCCCACATGTTCCCCACGGCTGCCCCGTGGTTCTGGCCAGACTGTAATGTTTGGGAAGGGGGTTTCCCCAGACCAGCAGCTGTTGGGTGGCGGGCTGTGGCAAAGCTGTGAGCCCACTCTGGGAAGATGGTGGCAGCCCCAAGGACAGAAAGTGGGACATAACTGTGGTCCTGGAGAGGTGCTTAGTAGGTACTGGGAGGGATGGGCTTCCGCATCGGTTAGGAGCACGTGCCCTTTGGTGAGGAGCGTCGCCCGTTCTGCGTGGCGGACGAGGAGAGCCGTGCAGGGGGGGGTGACTGTCGAGAGCTCTGTGTAGCAGCTGGTGCGTTCCCACGTTAGGCCTGTCAGTTCCTGCCTCCAGAGGAAGTGATAGTCCACCCTGTGTGGGGGCTAACCCGCGACACCCCAGGAGGTGGCTCTACTTCCGACGCCAGGACCATGCCCCTGGGCACATACCCTTCTGGAGACTGGGGTGGCACGTGTGTTACGGTTGGAGGCGCCCGCTGGGGCTCCTACCCTGGGATGTGGACCTGAAGGCAGCACCTGTGTCCGCCCTGCAGGGAAGCCTCCTTGATCTCCCAGCCGGTCCATCGCTGCCCGTGTTCCCACACGTGTGTGTCCAGGATTGTGGGGCCGATGCCTGGGCCACTGGTGTGAGCACACGGGGCCGTTCTGTACGGCAGCCACCAAATCACTGCGCTTCACTGCATGTCTGCCTCTGCTTCCCAGCCACGCCGGGCCCTGCAGCGTCCGCGGCTCTGGGGGGTCCAGTGGGCGCTTCCCTTCTGGATGCACTGTTCTGACTTGTGGGACAGCATCTGTTTCTTGGTTTCCTGGTGGGGAAAGGGGTGGAGGGGCACCTACATGGAAGGCAGGTCGGCGTCCGCAGTCCGAGGCGTTCCAGGAGGTCACGCCCAGGGTTTTCCTCCTCCACACAACCTTGGCCATCACCATCCTCACTTAACCCACAGGCTACCATCCCTCTGTCTGTCCAAAGGGTTAAGCATGAGTGATGACCATCCACACAGCCCTTAACTTGCCTCCCCCACCCCCTTTTTTTCACTGTGATTTGGGTGAAAGTTGACAGCAAATTCACTTTCCATCCAGCAGCTCACATACACCTTGTCTCATGACATTGACTACAGCTTCCCACAATGCAACAGCTCCCCTCCCTTTTCCTCCCCGCAGTGACCTCTTCCCTGTGTCCTTCCTGCCCCCTGAGCTGTCTCCCTGTGCACACACAGCCCTTCTGTTCTCCCATGATCGATCTCTCCAAGGAGTGTATCTACTTGATGTAAATGTTCAGCTCATACGCCTGCCTTTTGCTTGGCTGGAAGCCGCAGGAGGGGGTTCAGTTCCAGACCTGAAGGGCAGCTGGGGGCCAGAGTCTCGGTGGTTCCACCAGGCTCTGTCATTAACTTGTCCCTTTGACTGCCTTTGCTCTGAGCTAGTTTGAAGCCAGAAGGTATCAGTGGAGGCTCGTATGACCACCGCCGTCCACGGCAGTGGCGTGCGGTAGCTGCAGCCGTCCACGTGCCAGGCGTCTGCCGACAATGGGCCTTCCCGTCTGAGTGACGAGGGCAGCTGTGCCCAGTGGTGTGACAGTCTGCAGCGGGTGGTCATCTCGACCTGTGGCCCGTCTCGTGTGGGACCCAGTGTTTCCACTCGTACAACCAACACTGTCACTTTCTTGAAAGCTTGCTTCTTTGCCTCAGTCCCAAGATGCAACCCTTCTCCTTTGCTTCAAACCATTCAGTAGCGTGGTCTGAGGCACTGCCGAGTGGGGACTAAATCCTCTCCCAGACCCCAAAAGCCTCATGAAGGCCTGCACTTCTTTTGATGTCCTCGAGGTGGAGTAAGCTTGCACCGTGTTAACTGTGCCTTCAGGCAACACCCAGGTCTTACCTGAGTTGATGGCCTCTCACGATTTTACCAACGTTACAGGCCCTTGCACCTTCTGGGGTTCCCGGCCCATTCTGTCCCCTGTAGGAGGGTGATGCGAGCGCCTGGGCGATCGTGTAGCAGAGAGAGATGCTCAGCACCTAGTGTGATCTCATCGGTACAGCAAAACCAGCGGGAGGCAGTGGGGAAAAGAAAACAGGTCTCCAGCCGCCGCACCACGGCAAGTGGTGGGGCTGTGTGGATAGCGCTG